ACATGGTTTGGGCCCCTTTCTCCGCAGTTTGGCCTTGGGAGAGGCTGAATGGATGATTTGGTGACACTCCATCACACGGAGAGGACCATTTAAGGTGGTCAAAGGACATTTGGTGGGAGGTCCTCCCTGTGACGGGGTGGCCCTGAGAACTTCCGTGCGGAGGTGGTGGGCGCAGATGGAGCGTTGCCACAACACCTTCTCAGCACCCAAGGGAGCCGCAAAAGCATTCAAGATCCCAGTGGAAATGAGGGGACGAGGGAGGGGGTGTTCTCCATGGTCCAGGTTCTCCATGGTCCAGGATCCCCTCCCTGCCCACACTGCTAAAGGGACACTGGGGAGCAGTGGTTGTGGGGCCAGCGGGGACTTCCCAAAGGAAGGTGAGAGAGCAGCTAATCCTGGACACCATTTCCAGGCCCGTGAATCCCTGCAGTGCTCCCAGTGCTACCCCAGTGCTCCCAGTACCCTCCCAGCATTCCCAGTATCACTCCCTTTCTCCCCCCAGTGCTCCCAGCTCTTTCCCGGTGCTCCCAGTACCACTACATGACCCCCCCAGTGCTCCCAGTGCAGTGTTCCAGTGCTCTGCCACCCTCAGAGTGAAGAAGTTCTTCCTCATATTCAACTGAAACCTCTCGTGTTTCAGTTTGCATCCATTGCCCCTAGTCCTGTCGCTGGACACCACTGCAAACAGACTGCTTCCGTCCTCTTGACTTCCGCCCTTAAGATATTTGTATGCGTTGATGAGATCCCCTCTCAGTCTTCTCTTCTTCAGGCTGAACAAGCCCAACTCTCTCAGCCTTTCCTCGTAGGGGAGATGCTCCAGTCCCTTTATCATCCTAGTAGCTCTCCTCTGGACTCTTTCTAGGAGTTCCTCGTCTTTCTTGAACTGGGGAGCCCAGAACTGGACACAGTACTCCAGATGGGGTCTCACCAGGGCAGAGTAGAGGGGGAGGAGAACCTCCCTCGACCTGCTGGCCACACTCCTCTTAATACACCCCAGGATACCATTGGCCTTCTTGGCAACAAGGGCACATTGCTGGCTCATGGTCAGCTTATTGTCCACCAGGACTCCCAGGTCCCTCTCAGCAGAGGTGGCATTGCTCAAGGAACAACGTCAGGGCCGATCCTGTTCAGCATCAGCATCATCAGTTACCAGCACAAGGGGCGGAAGGCACGTCAGCAAGTCGGCGGGTAATGGTAACCCAGAGGGGGGGGAAGCAGTTCACGGCCTTGATGGCAGGATTAGTCTTCAGAGGTACCCTGGATGAGACAGAGGAACGGGCCAAGAGGAACCTCCTGAAGTTCAGCAAACACAAAGACACTGTCCTGTCCCTGAGCTGGAATAGGC